TATAATGCTTCAGTGTAGCAGTATAATATGAAAAGCAACGTGCTCTTGGTGTCCAGTGAGACGAGACTTAGGATTGCTGTTTTCAAAAGCAAAGGACTTCAAAAAGTTTGACTAAAGAAGAACTACTGGAGAAGTAATTACATCATACTTTCAGTAAGCTCTTCTATTCTGCTATTTATACAGAGCCTTCTCTTGACTGCAGCAACCACAGACCACATCTAGTTCTACACCTGGACTGGACACCCACACCTGATGATCAGCATACTACAAAATATTCAGCAGCATTTAGATTGCCACAAGTAGGCTCTTCTCCTGTATCACAACATGCTATAGCTTTTAAATGGCTTAAGACAACAAACCTCTTCGCTAAATATATCAGCTAACACCACAAAGAGAAACCAAACTGTTTCACAAGCAGGAAAATGAAGAGGTACATTATAGACAGATGTGATGAGCATTCTTAGGCCAGGGGGTTATTTTGAATTAACAGGAAGTTTCTGCAGCATCACAGATCAAGACCAGGACAGAACACAGCGGAAGACAGAGACAAGAAGGACTAAACATGCAGACATGGGGTACTTTGCAGCCTGGGTAGAAAAGAAGCTGTCGAGTGAAACATCCATTCCAAAGCTGAAAATGGGGCAGAAAGCAAGCTATGCCTTTTAGAAACAATTCTCCTGCATCAGGCAAGCTTGTAACTCATTAGAAATACCGAGAGAAGAGGAAAGTTGAGACCTGCAGGTGGACAGAATGACAGCAGAGGAAGGCTAAGAAGGCATCCTGCAGGCTGGCCTTTCCAACATGCGGCACCTGCAGGGTTACAAAGCTTTCCAACACCTCCTAACTTCATACCAACACGTACACCAAGAAGAACATCTACTCTTAGTTACTCTTCAAACACATCCTGAGCTCTACCAGAAGCACTACAAGCAACACCAAAAACCTGCTCTGGTTTTCTGTCAATGGCACAGGAACAGGGCACAGCAAAACGGCAGGCAGCACTGACCATCCTGCAGCTGCTCTTCTCAGCACTACTGAGCTGCTTCCTGTTCCTGCAGTGGTTTGCAACGAAGCACCGCACTGCTGCTCTGCTGTTCACCAATAACCACTGCTTGAAAACATCCCCGCTGTCAGCATCTGAAATTAGCATCAGCCATAGAAACCTTTTGGGATTCTGAGGAACTAAGAGCCCCAGTCAGACCACGCACAGCATCAGGCTGAGCTTAAAATAGAGCAGGCAGTTTGAACTCATTATTGATAGGAGCACACGCTGACCATACAGAGCAGCATCCAGGGCACAGCCAGCACTACGTCCATCCCAGATAGAAGTTCTGCCTCTCTGCTGCACTGCTGAAAAAGCGTGAATTTCCAGCAGAAACAGGCAGGCTGAACACATGAAGGGGAAGAGGAGAAGGGCAGTGCAGCTAAGGAGAACCAGACATGCCATTTGGGGGGGGAATTTCCTTGACCAGATCCTAACAAAGCCGCTCCCTGCGATGCCTTTGGAAAGTCACTATGGGAAAATACACACAAACCTCACTAACAAGAAACCAAGGAAAATTCAGGATGGCTCTGCCTGCAGAAGATGCCTGTGGGCACACACTAAGCACTCCATAGCCCAAGGTGGTTTTTCTTCCCTTGGGGTGAGGGCTCTCTTCCTCCAGCTGGTAGTCGCATGATAACTATTTTGAGACCTATAAACACATTTTTATCTGGGGCTTAATTATACAAAGAGATGCCAACCGACTTGACAAGTCCATCTCCCTCCCAAATGAAAGAAAAGTCTCCATCAATTCAGTGCTTACTACTAAGAAGGCAAACACACACTGCCATGGATAAAAATCAGCTATTTTAACGCAAGGCAAAAAAGCAACCATTCCCATTTCATAGAATCACAGAACGGCTTGGGTTAAAAAGAACCATAAAGACAGTTTAATTTCAACCCCCTGCTGTGTGCAGGGTCATCAACCACCAGACCAGGCTGCCTAGAGCCACATCCAGCCTGGCCTTGAATGCCTCCAGGGATGGGGCATCCACAAAAGTGAATTCTCATAAGCGAGCTTCTGAAACAGAATCTCCTGATTGAAATCTAAGTCAATGCGAATGTAGCTCTCAATCCTTTAAACGAATGTGCGTTTCAGAAGCAAACTGCAGAGAGCTGTTTATTACAAACGACTTCCACCTCCACAGCCCTCAAAGGCAAACCATAAAGCTGTGTGCAAAGCTAGACAATCTGGGCACCCAGCCATAAGCCAGCACTGCTGCAGCACAGATAACTGTTCTCACTCTCGAGCCATCCTTGGCTGCAAACCCATGGGGAAGACATCCAGAACGCAGCCCTCGCTGCCGCCAAAGCTTCTAATGTTTTATGAGCTTGAATTGCAACTACGGCTGGGAATACAGCACTGAGAAATTACGATGCTGGTTCACGTCCAGAGCTAAGAGCAAAACCAACTCCGATGTCGATTGCCGCTGCTCTGAAGGGAAGACTGAAAGCACATCGAGCCATCTCACAGATGTCTGCGGTGAAATTTAGTGCCCCTGCACGAAGAAAGTGATGTCACACTTCAGAAAACGACAAAAGAATCAGCAGCGCGTTCTGAACTGCCGCTGCACTCTCAGCAAATGATACCATCTTTGATATAGTCTGAACCTGCCCTGTAAGCACTCTGTGCACGAGAAGGCAGTTTGTTACTGTGACCAAACTCAGACATTCTTATCCCGTGCAGCAGACATTAAAATGCAGTAGTGCCAAAGCAGGCAACTGCACACCGAGGTTTCTCAAAACGCAGAGCTGTTCGTTGGAATGCAAGTGATGTTAACCACAATTAAGCAGTGATAACAGAAGCAAAGGTCTATCTACATCCAGTAATTAAGATGTAAAACTAAGCTGCGTCTTTGGTAGACGTTTTTCATAAATAGCTCAGAATCCTAAAGCAAGATCAAATAATACTTTGATTCCTCTGCTTTCACACATTAAGAACCATCTTTCATTGTACCACCAGCACTGCCCAATGAAGAGACCGTGCAAAGCACACAGACGCTATTTACTGTCACTTCTAGATCACCTTCCCATTCAATAAAGTGTATTTCTCTTCTAAACACTATTTGCTGTGGCTGATATCTTCATAACACAGCTGAACACCCCAAGCCATTATCACTAGAAGGCATCAGCTGATGCTAAATTGGCTCGACTGCAGCGTCACAGGCATTTAAGAGGTTTCCTTATCATTCATCTTTAATACCAAAGGATCGACAGGCTCCTACCTGCAGCTTCTAGGCCAAAGGGAAACCTTCTAATGGTATTACCATTATCTTGTCATCTGAATTTTAAACAATTAAAACAATAGCCCTTGTGTTGCGCATCTCCACTGTAACCAAAGATGATAAATGTTTAATCACTCACTTCTCATGTTCAAAGTCTTACATACTGCACTGATTATTTAACAAAACAGGCAACGTGAATTCTACCTTCAAGCTGCTATACCTTCCAACAGCAGCAGCACATGCATTAAGAGATGAGTAACAGACTGCTTCACTTCGTCAAGGTTTGAGCGTTTTATTTTTAAAGCTGCAGCTCTGCTAGCCAACACTATCCAGCAATTCTTTCCAAATGAAAGCCTCTTTTTACTAAAGCAAAGGATGGCTCCACCCCTGACCTCCTCCTTCAGCTTGTTTTGGAAAAGGGCCAGATGACAGCATTTGGAAAAGCGCTTGTTTATCTCGGCGAGGCCAGCTGCTAGGAGGAAATAAATGTAAGTTAACATATTACCCGTTCCCACATACACGGCTCTTGGTTAAGGCTTCGCAGCTCAAACCGAAACCAAACCCTTCTGCTGGGTTTTAATACCAAATGGCCACTGAGGAGAGGAGCTGCACCTCGCTGTGAACCAACAGGGAATCGTAGGTCAGCCCGAGCTGACAGCAGGCAGCAAATCCCTACCGGGATGAAGAGTCCTTTCTGAAAGGAACCAAAAGCATAAATAAAATCCTTCTTTCCTATCCTTCTAGTCTGCTGTAACTCTACGCTTTCTGTAAGGTCAAGGCTAACCAACAGTTTGAGACACGGGAAGATGCTCTGCCTGGCAAAGCCTTCAGCCTAACCCCGGTTCGCTGCTACTGCCTGACAAAGTACGGAACTTGGAAGCTCCGGGTCTCCACCTTAGAAGCACTTCTGTGCCCAATTACGCTTTCACGCTTAGGCAATGTCAAAGTCTTTGAAGGCCCAAGTACAAAACGCCAGGATTGCTTCCTTTAAGGATAAACAAAAGACGATGGAAGCCAGGAAAAGCACAAGTTGTTTCATTAATAGGAAAGACCCATCGCAGAAGTGAATAAAACCTAAAATGAAGACAAACGGCAGGTTTTCCAACGACCATTCCACCCGGCAGGCTCCGGGCAGCCCCATCCCAGCCGGGGCCGAACGTTCCTCCTCGGGGCCGGGCCGGGAGCGTCCGCGTGGTGCGCAGCTCCGCACCGCGGCGAAGCGATGCCCGGGGCTGCACCGCAGCACAGCGCTACGCGGGCGGCGTAACCGCGCTACGCGGATGGCGTAAATCCGTCCGTACGCGCAGTGCTACGCGCCCGGCGTAACCCCTCCGAGGCGGACGGCTGCGGGAGGGAGGGAGAATTCCGCAGCAGAAAGGCCATGACGTAATAAGGATTACGGCTAAATTTAAACAGGCCGTGGTGCTGCGGGACGAGCGGCCTCGCAGCCGCACGCTGATCAAGTAGCCAGGAAGTACGACTAGCAGCGTATGCAGAGAAAAACACAGCACTCTAAGGTTAGCAATTAATTCCCATAACCAGCCCTGCAACACATCAGGGGATCAGCCTGCGATACAAGCCAACGCGACGATCGCAACCCCCGGGGCTCCGTCACCGAGCCCAGGATTCGAACCCGCGGCCCCCAAGCCGCACACAGCGCACCGCAACAACGCTCCGTCCGCCGCAGTCAGAGCGCTGAGCCCCGCGGGTCCCGCACAGCCCGGCGCCCTCACCTTGTAGTCTGCTCTGTGCGGGGCTCTTTGGCAGCTTTCGGTTCGGTCTCGCTGTGAGGAAAAGAGCAGGGATGTCGTCTATGGTGGAGGGGTCTCACTGACGCGTTCCTTTCTTATTTTAAACGTTGTTTGTTGTGTTGGTGGTGGTTGGTTTGTTGTTTGTCTTTTTTTCCCTCTCTTTCTGTAATTGTACCCGTAATTTCACGAATCGATGCGAAAAAAATCTCACACGGCCAAAAATAATAATTAAAAAAAATTAAGTTTTTTTGTTGTTGTTGTTGTCGTCGCCGTTTGTCGACACCCCCTCAAAGAAAAAAAAGTAAAAGAAAAAACAACGGCACAGAGGAGGACGCGCACAGAGACGCAGGGCAGCGGCGGTTCCCGGCGGAGCGCAGCGCGGCTCAGTCCGTGCCTGGCGCGCACGGTCCGCGCTGCAGCGAAGATCCGAACCGGGTCGGGAGGGGCTCTGCCGCGTCCCGGTGGGTTCAGTCCGCGTGGACGGGCATCTGAGGAGGCGAAAAGTGCAAATCAAAAAAAATAAACCAGGAGAATCAAATCAGCGAAATAAAGCGCGGCCCGCCGGGGCACGGTCCCGCAAAAGGACCCCCCCCCGCACAACGCCCGGAGCGGCGTTCGCTGCGCCCTCCCGGGACAATCCGCACCGCGGGGCCGCCCCGCAGGAAGCAGCGGGAGGGGAGGATCCGGCGGAGTCCCTCCGGAGGGGGGGGGGGGGGGGGGGGGGGCGAACGCAGCGGAGGTGCCCCCGGGGCGGGGGTTCGGGCCGGGCTGCAGCAGCGGGTGGGGGCCGCTCTCCGCCGCTCGCTCTCGGTGTCCGCTCAGTGCTGTTGAGCCGGGCCCCCGCTGCTCCTCCGCGCCGCCGATTCGGACGCCACCTCCGCTGCTGCCGCCGCCGTCCTCGGGAGCACAGCTGCTGCCGCCGCGGCCATTTTGTTGCTAACTGACAAGAGCCGCGCCGGGCAGCGCGAGAGCGCGGGGAGGCTCCGCCGCGCTCCCCGCCCCGCCCAGCGCCGCTCTCAAACAGGAAGTGCGCCCCCCTCCCGCTCCCCTCAGCGGGCCCCGATCCTCCGCCCCGCGCGCAGCCACGTGACAGGGGAGCCCCCGCCACATGCAAATGAGCGCCGCGGCCGCAGCCAAAGAGCGGCGCGAGCGGATGGCTTCGCCCCACCCCTCCCCCCCCGCGCTCAGCTCCTGCCCGTGGGGTGGGGGGAGGGGGGCAGGAGCCGCGCGGTCCGTGCGAGCGGCGGCGGTGCGATGTGCGCAGCTTCTTGCACCCCCCCGCCCCGCAGTACAAACGGCTCTCGGTACGTGCACAGCCCCCGCCGTGCAAATTAAGGTTGGTGTTGCACGGCAGGCCACACCCCTCCCCCCCCCCCCCCCGTTCAAACAGACATCGGGACAAGTGGGTAGCAGTGCTTTTATAGCACCCCCTTCTCTCCCCCCACCTCCCCCTCACCCCCTCCTCCACCGTGCAGAGGCAGTGGTGCGTTCGCGTACCTCTCCCCGTGCAAACAGCGGCTGTGCCAACGGGTACAGCGCATTCATAACAACCAGCGGTCTGTGCATTCATCCCCTCTCCTCCCACCCCGGTGCATTAACGCTCCATGCAAATTGGCTTTTGTGCCCATTTATATATTAAAAATATAAATATTTCAAGCAGGCATTGGTGCAACACACACCCCCCAACAAGCAGCACGTTGGAAAAAGTGGGAGGGTTGCACCGAGTGCTGTTTGGGGTGGGGGTGGTGGGAGGGGTGATGCTTGGGCCCGTTGCACCCCGGAGCTGCAGGGAGCGACACGCACACAGCTGGCACTGAGCAGCTGGAGCCGTGTGTGCACGGATCTGCATGCATCTGCAGCTCCGTTCCATACATGCACAGCATAGCTGTTACATACACATACATGCACTTTAAGCATATGTGCACCGTGCACCGGCCATGCACCGCACACACCTATGCATGCACAGCACTGCTCGGGGCTGTTCTGCACTCCCTCAGCCCCTCTCTCTGCACGGTCCCTACAGGGCTGGCACCGGGCACCCCGGGGCTGTCCCACGGCCGCTGGAGGGAGCCCACATGGTGCCAGCAGCAGCGCCAGCACCGAGCAGCATTGCACAGTGGGCTCATGCTGCTCACATGCACCGGTATCTCCCAGCACAAGAGAATGCAGACCCTGCATCGGCAGAGCAGAGCAAACCTGAGAGTGATTTATGCACCAATACATTTGCGTGGCTCTGGCACAATCACCAGAAGTGTGACATGACCTCACCTGCTGACACAGCACCCACTGGTCCCAATGCACCATGGCCCCAAAATACTATCTGTAAAAGTTCTCTCTAGTAATACAGTTACCTTACTAAACACAGAGCTCTGTGCTACATTTCCCTGCTTTGCTCTCCTGGCAGTGCTTTCACCCGTTTTTGCAATCTGGGCACATTTACATGGGTGCCCATTGGCAACGTGCCCTGTGCTGAGCCCTGAAAACCTGCTGCCCCAAAACAAGGGGCATCAGTCTGAGCAAAAATCCCATAGGCTGATACACATTTTTTTGTAAGGTTTACATGGCTGAAGCAGTTTACTTCACCACACGCTTTTGATTTCTGTATTCTTCTGTTGAAATTTGGAGTTGGTCTGTATTTTGGGGTAAGAGATAAAAGCATAACAAACACAAACACGCACCTACATTTTCTCTATGCACCTGGACGTGAAGGTACCTACGTACACTACCACTTCTGCACAAAAACCCATTGCTGCCCAGCAGTGCAACATCTGGATTCAATCCCTCCCCCCTCAACCCCAGAGGCTCCAACCTGCATTTCCCATGGGGAGATGTAGCACGATGCTAAACAGCATCTGGGAAGGGGAAAACAAGGTATGTTTTATTCCTGCTCTTGGAGCAGAGCTATTGTATAAACAAGAACATGAATGTCCCCAGGCCAAGCAGCGAGCAAGGAGAGCACAGCTCTCCCCTTCTTGCTGTGGCACACAGCAGCTGTGATAACACGTTCTGCCTGTTATCCATCACTGCTTAACATCACACACAGCGTGCTCTGAATGGAGGGGCAGAGCCCCAGCTCTAGAGAGTGCTCTGGAGGAAAGGAACCTCCTTCAGATAACTGGGTTCTGTCTCTGTCCCATAGAACCTCATGTGTGCACAGGGAGCACAGGAGATTTTTCCTGATGTGTTCATTGCTCTCCTTAGGGCAGATGCTGCTTTGCAATGGGATTTTACAGCAGGGCCCCATCAATGACCTGGATAACTGACCTCAGAAGGCAGCAATGAACCAGCCCATTCATCCACCCCCGTGCTCTGCTCCTTTTTACACCAGGTGCTGAAAGGTGCCAAAGTGGCAGTGCTCAATGCTGAGCAATTGTTGGGTCCCTGCATTCATGTCCAGGGCAAACAGGAGTTAGTATGGCCTAATGACTTGGGGGAGACAAAAAATAAGATCATTCGACCATTTGAGTTGGAAGGGACCTTTGGAGGTCATCAGATGAACTCTCCAACAACTCCCTGCATTTTCAGCTGCCCATAACACCCATTTCTTCCCTTCTTTGATTAAATTAGAGACAGAGTTTGCTTTGCTGGCAAAGGACATTTGGGGGGGTGATACCAATACAATGATTCTGTGGTTCTAGTGTCCACTTTTGGCATGCCTTGGGATCTCAGGGTGAAAATACTCTACTATTGGGATGACTGTGCTGCACAGATTTCCCAGTATTTGGGGTAGGATTGCACCTGGGGTGTCTTCTGCCTTTCTGATAGGATATCTTCCTGGGGTAGAAGTGAGACAGAGAGAACTGTGTGAGACAGACACTAGCTGTATTGTTTAACAAAGCTCTATAGGGTGCTCAAGGAAATGGGATGGGGTCACACCAGGGAAGGTCGCAGTGCTGATAGGCACAGCCCTAAGCCAGGACTCAGCTGCTCCTTGGAATCCATCTCTGCTCCCTACACCACTCACAGAGCCACTGGGATGGCAAAGAATTTATCACCACCCACCCACCATCCCTAAAGTTTTATGGCAGTGTAGATCCATTAGAAATCCATTTTACAGAGGTATTAAAATAATGAAGGTGAGAATTAAGAGAGCAGCATGTTCCTTTGAAAACCTGCTGATCATAATATACGGCTTTAAAGAAAGTTATCATGCAGTCCCCTTAAAGAAAGTTATCAATTAGTCACCGTATCCGACATTGGAAAATTGTTCCCTGAAGAGGATTTTAGGAGAAAAGCCATTGCCTAAGTGATGAATTCATCACTGGAGGTGCCATAGCTAAGATGGCATGGAGAGAAATCAGAATCTTGGTAGCTCCTGGTAGGACTGGAACTGGGATTGGGACTGGAAAGGCTCCTCATCCTGTATGGTCACAGAAAGGCTGGGGATGTTTCTCAAACCTGGAGAAAGCCCGAAATTGGGATAAACCTGCAAAATACTTTGTTTTGACCCAAAAGTGCCTTTTTTGCTGCAGCACAAGGAGGCTGCGTGGCCAGGGGATTGTTATAGGCCATGGGGCTGACATAGCTGTGGGGCTGCATGGCCGCAGGTCTGTATGGCCATGGGGTTGGTATGGCCATAGAGTTGTTGTGGCCATGGTGTTGTTATGGCCATGGGATTAGCATGACCATAGAGTTGGTATTGCCATGGGGTTGTTATGGCCACAGAGTCGTTATGGCCTTGGTTGGCATGACCATGGGGTTGGTATGGCCATGGGGTTGATATGGCCATGGAGTTGGTATGGCCATGGGGCTGCATGGCTGCAGGGCACCCACTTGTCTCAGCTGGGATGCACAGTGCAGCCCTGACACATTGCTGGGCTCTCCTGAGATCAACCAAACAAAAATATTTGTGTTTACTTTGGGGATTTGTCTGTGCATAATTATGCATTAGTCATTACGAGGACTACAGGAGACTTTTACACATGTAAATATGTTCCACTAATTAGACAGGGCTGGCGTGGGTTGGGTTCTCTCTGCAGCCCGATCCCAAACTCTGCAGAGCAGAGCTGCCTGAGCCCGGACTGTGCTGAGAAACATTAAACCAACCCTTGTGGCTTTGTGCTGGGGCCCCACTGCGCTCAGTGCACAAGGCAGCAAGGCAGCCTTCGGCTGCTCCCTCCTGCACCTGCCCCTGTGGGCAGAGATTCTCTGCAGATCACATTCATAAGGCATTATTTCCTCCCAAAACATTTGAAGTGCAGCAGCTTTCAGTAATCTTCCAGCATCTTCTCCTAGTGTGACAGCCTATTAATGCCATTTGCATGAGAAGTACACAATAAATCATCCAAGCACGGTTTAGGACAGGTTATGTGTAGCAGCCTCACGGTGATGGCTGGAAGGAAACACAGTGGCTCTTCGCTGGATGGAAATCTGCAGCCCTCCATCACAGCTATCCAAATGGGTGCAAGGGAAAGCACTGAGCACCAAATCCATCACCCCCATGCCAGCTGCATGGGGTGCAGTCAGCCCAGGGCTGAAGCTGCATGGCTCTGCTGGTTGCAGAGGTGCTCTGTGCCCTCTGAACTACCATTGAGTAGCTCTGGTTACTCAGAAATCAGTCTGAAATCCAAGCTGCTGTGTCCAGAACCTCTGCTTTTCTGCAGGAGTGGCTGTGCATGGAACCAGCACAAATGATTTCCTTGTTCCTGATTTACCAGACATCTCAGGCTCCTGTGCCCTTAACACCTTCTTCCCGCTGACCTTCACTTGGTTTGGGAAACAACATTTACCATAGCAGGATGCAAAGCTCCTGCAGGATCTGCACATACTGGGAAAGAAGACAGGAGTGTTCTGCAATGCACGGCACCACCAGGCAGCACCGGGCTGCTCTGCACGGCCCCATCACCACCACTGCTCACCCAAATGCCACGGCCGTGCAGAAGGACAGCTTCTCATGTGCTCATCTCCAGTGTGACAGCTGAGATCCGTGCTTGTTGCTCACCTGTGTGTGATCTCTGTGGGGGAGCACCTTCTGAGAGCTGATCACGCCAAAGTCACAC